TGCAGGAGGCAGCCGATCAATGATTCTTTCTCAACATTGATGTTTCTACCTCTCTCTCCCTCTCCCTTCCTCTTTGAAATCAATTATATACTAGAGGCTCGATGCAAGAAATTCGTGCAAGAGTAGGCCTTCCTTCCCCTGGCTGCCGGCACTAGCTTTCCTTTGGCACCCAGGACCCAGGCTGCCCTCGCAGCCCTGGCTTTGTCTGGAAGGATGGAAGGACATCTGGAAGGATGTCCAGTCTAATTAGCATATTACACTTTTATTATATATATATATATGTGTGTGTGTGTGTGTATGTGTGTGTGTGTATGTATTATAAAAAGGCAACAAATGTATCAATTCTTTTTTTAAAATTTGATTTTAGAGAGAGGAACATCAATTAGCTTGAGGGATAGAACCCATAACCTGGGTATGTATCCTGACTGGGAATCAAACTCTTCACCTTCTGGTATACAGGATGATGCACCAACCTATTGAGCCACACAGGGCAGGGCCAAATGTATGAATTCTTTTTCTCTTTTTAAAAATAATTATCCATTCATTATTCTTTTTAAAAAAATTCTTTATTGTTTAAAGTATTACATATAATATTACATATGTCTCCTTTTCCCTCCATTGACCTCTCCCTGGCCAACCTCCCAGCCCCCAGCACATGCCCTCACCCCCTAGTGTCTGTGTCCATTGGTTATATGCATGCATAGAAGTCCTTTGGTTGATCTCTTACCTCATCCTCCTCCCCCGCCTTCCCTCTGAAGTTTGACGGTCTGTTTAATGCTTCTCTGTCTCTGGATCTGTTTTTGTTCATCAGTTTATGTTGTTGATTATATTCCACAAATGAGCAAGATCATGTGATATTTATCTTTCTCCGACTGGCTTTCGCTTAGCATAATGCTCTCCAGGTCCATCAATGCTGTTGCAAATGGTAAGAGTTCTTTCTTTTTTTTAATATATTTTTATATTGATTTCAGAGAGGGAGGGAGAGGGAGAGATGGAAACATCAATGATGAGAGAGAATCATTGATCGGCTGCCTCCTGCACACCCCCTACTGGGGATCAAGCCTGCAACCCAGGCATGTGCCCTTGACTGGAATCAAACCCAGGACCCTTCAGTCCGCAGACCAACGCTCTATCCACTGAGCCAAGCCAGCCAGGGCAAGAGTTCTTTCTTTTTTACAGCAGTGTAGTCTTCCATTGTGTAGATGTACCACTGTTTTTTAACCCACTCATCTGCTGATCCTTTCTGGTTGGTGTTTCTGATTTCTTGGGATATATTCCTAGAAGTGGGATTATTGGGTGAAATGGGAGTTCCATTTTTAATTTTTTGAGGAAACGCCATACTGTTTCCACAGTGGCTGCACCCCTACCAGCAGTGCACCAGGGTTCTGTTTTCTCCACATCCTCGCCAGCACTTTGGTTTGTCTATTTGTTGATGATAGCCATTCTGACAGGTGTGAAATGGTACCTCATTGTCATTTTGATTTGCATCTCTCAGGTGATTAGTGACTTGGAGCATGTTTTCATATGTCTCTTGGCCTTCTGTATGTCCACTTTTGAAAGGTGTCTATTTAAGTCCTTTGCCCATTTTTTGATTGGATTGTTTATCTTTCTTTTGTTAACATGTATGAGTTCCCTATAAATTTTGGAGATTAGGCCCTTATCAGATATAACATTGGCAAATATGTTCTCCCATACAGTGGACTTTCTTGTTTTGTTGATGGTTTCTTTTGCTGTGCAGAAGCTTTTTATTTTGATGTAGTCCCATTTGTTTATTTTCTCCTTAGTTTCCATTGCCCTAGGAGCTGTGTCAGTAAAGATATTGCTACGACATGTGTCTGATATTTTGCTGCCCAAATGTATAAATTCTTAAAACCATAGAATTATTTGTGTAGAATCTCAGAATATTTACAACCGTTTATCAAAACCTAAAGTATATTTTTAAACTATAAAACCTTCCTTAAAAAAAAAAAGAAAAATTCAATTGGGGATGGGAAAGAACTTCAAAGAATGCCAGCTGTGTGAGTATAAACTGTAAAGTATCATTTGCCCCTGCCTCAGCGCCCAGAGTATCATAATGACTTCTATACCCGTGAATGTTTTGTGAGGGAAGAGGCGGGGAGTCCTCAGGAAGGGTTCAGCTCTCCATTTCTGAATTGTGGTACTGCAATAGCCCAGCTGAAGCAGGAGCCCAGAAGCAGAGAGATTTAGGAGAATATGAATCCTCAGAACCTTGCAGAAATCTTAGGGAAGGTTCTGACTTACACAATCCATACTTACTTCAATCTCAAAGGGCAAGGAGGTTGACATCTGAATTACAAAAGTAATGCATATTCATTTTTAAAGAATAGAAAATAAAAAGAGAAGCAGAAAGAAAAAAAATCACTCAATAGTTCTACCATCCAGATATCTGAGGGTGTGGCCTGAGGAGCGTATGGGAGAGGGGAGGGGTCATCTTTAAGGGTGGCGAAGAGGAGGAAGTTACCCATTGATCATATACTCATGAGTCAAGATGACAAACCCAGCTTCTTCCACCAAACTGCCTCCCAGCTGCTAGGTACCTTTGTATGATATATCTGAAAGCACAGGCTGGGGCAACAGGGCTCTTCCAGATCCTAAAGACCTGGGTTAGAAGCAAGAACGAAATTTTCTTCAACAGTAGGAAGGATGCTCAAGTGTATTCAATAAGTACATGGGAAGACAGGAAGAAGCCCAGAACCATCCATTCCTATTGCAGAAGCCTCTAGACCAGCGGTTCTCAACCTGTGGGTCGCGACCCCCTTTGGGGTCGAACGACCCTTTCACAGGGGTTGCCTAAGACCATCGGAAAACACATATATAATTACATATTGTTTTTGTGATTAATCACTATGGTTTCATTATGTTCAATTTGTAACAATGAAAATACATCCTGCATATCACATATTTACATTACGATTCGTAACAGTAGCAAAATTACAGTTATGAAGTAGCAACAAAAATAATTTTATGGTTGGGGGTCACCACAACATGAGGAACTGTATTAAAGGGTCGCGGCATTAGGAAGGTTGAGAACCACTGCTCTAGAGTCTAGAGAGGCAGGAAAGTCCTTTTATGAAAGTTACAAGCAGCACAATCTCGTCCAGTGGAGTCTGGAGTCTGAAGAGCCGGGTTCTGTTGCTTCCTGCAGCAAGTCACGCACCTTCTCTCCACTGGAGGATGAGGAGGCTAGACCCGATGACCCCTAGTTCCCTCCAGCTTTAAATTCCCTTTAGCGTTACATACTTGCTCGACCTGTTTCGCTGGCCTGGAGCTCCCTCCCAGCTCCTCCCTAAGCGGCCGGGTCCGCATCCGGCACCAGAGGGCGCTGCAGCGGCCAGAGCGGCGTGCGGTGGGCGGAGTGGCAGGATCAGCGGAGCCTCCAGGAGGCGCGGTGATTGGCTGGCTCGGGCGGGGGGGGGC